TTTTATGGATGGGAAGTGTACTTTAACGAAATTCTTGCACTATTTCTTCAGTTTTCCCAATAATGTTACTAGTAGTTAATTGATATTTGTTTATTTATAAAATGCTAAATCATTCCAGACTGGTCAAATATAAAATCATAACCTCATATATAAGGTGCTTTTAAGCTTCTTCTCTATTTTATATACAGAGTATATGAGATTATCTTATGCTAAAAAAATAAGTAATTGAGCCAAACCTCAAGTCTTAATATAAAATGTAGTTTCAATTTTTCAATATTTTTTTAGTTTATTTACTAGTTCTTGGGATGTTTTTACTTGGAGTGTGATTTGCCCGCCTAGTCTGGTCTGATAATGTCTGATTTCTTTGTAGTTTTATAACTATCCAAGTCTGGTCTGAGACAAATTACAGTCCAAGTAAAAACATCTTGCTCTATCATAGGTCATCCAAAAACAAGTCTCCCCGTTTAGTACATGGGTCAGGGGTAGTAAGGCTACGTACATCTGACCCCCTTACCGGACCGTAAGTGGGAGCCTTTGTGACATTGGGGCAATGTTGTTGTTGTACTAGTTCTTGCTCTAGTAAATGCAATGGATATTTGTTTTTCTTTAATTAAAACCTTCTGTTTTGGATGAAATGTGATTTTGTAAAGCATCAAACTATGTAATGAAAACCAGATATTGAAAAATTAGGTTCAACATGTGTTCTCTGGACATGATGAGGGTAGGTTTATGATTATAAAATTATTGTTTTGATGAGAAGGAAGATGAAAGGAAACAATTAAGAGGAGAAGATTTAACTGTCTACGTTATACACATAAGGTCGATGTTTAGCATATATTAAATCTCAGATGGCTGTGTTTTGATATTTTCGCTTTGCTTGAATATGGTGAAACATTAGTAGATTGTGTGATGTACTCGTGTAATTGTGTTGTATTCTAACCAGTCAGAAAACCTTTCTAGAAATTTTCTTGAAGCAGCTGGAATAGAAATTGTTGTAAATCTCTTTCTTTGTTAAAAATAATGCATCAAAATAAATAAACAGATAATTAGGATTGTGAGAAAATAACCGAAATTTAAATTTGATGGTGATGGCTCTGAACTCAAAACCTTAATGTATTAGCACAAAATATGATAAGTTGATTAGAAAATCAAGTTATCATTAAAAAGATTCATTTTGAATAGAGTGGTTAGTGGAGAGTGTTCCTTATGCAATTAAGGCGATGCTAATTACAGAGTGAACCTTTATTTTACCCCATGTTTTTTCTTTATCATCTTGTCTGTTATTAGACGTACTACATATAAAATAATGCAGAGTACATGCTAAAAGTAGAACTACAAATCATTGCAGGCTATTCCGAAGAAATTTTCTGAAAATCTACGAGGAAAACTAGCAGGCACTGTCCGCCTCAAAGGACCGAGTGGTTCTGTTTGGGAAGTGGGATTGGCATCAGACGGCGAGAGCCTTTACCTTAAGCGTGGTTGGAAAAAATTTGTGCGAGAACATTCCCTCCAAAAAAATGATGTCTTGGTTTTCAAATACAATGGGAACCTGCAGTTCGATGTTTTCATGTTTGACCAGCTGAGCTTATGTGAGAAAGAGGCTTCATATTTTGTAAAACAATGTGCACACAAGGAACTCACTGGAGCCGATAAAACTGAAAAAACTACCCCTCGAGCTCGAACCATCTATCTTGAGTCGACAAGCAATGAATCAGCACAGGAGGAGGACGAAAGGAAGGTTGTGAAAAGGCCAAGGAAGGATGGCACGTCTCCTAAAGAGAATCATCAATCAAGCGGGAAGCTAAAGAAGAAATCTGTCGGTATGTCTCCTTAATCCCAGCTCATTGAGGTTGGTTGTTTGAAATTTAAGGTAGTTTGTGGAGTAGAAATAGGAAAGAGAATGAGGAGAGTTTCTCTTTTTTTTGGAATAAGGTAGAAGTAGGGAAGAAAGAAAAAACAGTTGGGGTTCTTCCACTTTGAGTGGGTGTTAGTCAACCTATTGTTCACATGCAACTTCAATGACTGGTCTCTTTGTTCTGAACCCATCTTTCCACTTCTTTTTCTCTGTTATGTCTCTCATACCATCAGGGGCGGATCTAGAAATTATAACTATTGGGGGCACCAATAAAGAAAGTTTAGGTAAATTTTGATTTTTTTTTTGAAAAGAGGAAAATTTTGAATTAAATATATATGAAATTAACTTTAAACAATAAAATAACCAAATATCAGCAAAATAGAAAATATTAAATTTTCATACAAATTGTTATGTATGAGTTTTCTGTTTTGAAATAATCATTCAAATATGGTCGTTAATTTATTGTGCAAACTTGATTTAACAATGTTAACGCAGAAAAGTTTCCTTTTACTGCAGGGGTTGCAACGGGTAAAATCAATAATTTAAAAAATACCTATGTCGTCCTTCACCTTTGACCAATTTTAATTTTCTTGTCTGTTTCGTTAATGTTTTCTAATAACATTTTTGGTAATATTTGATGAACACAATTTATTACGAGTATTACTTTATTAACACTTTATTAATTCAATAATAATGATCATACAATTTTCATTTTCCTAATAATTGCACCAAGCCACTTCCTCATATTCTAATTCTACAAAATAAAGTAGTATACATTCCCCTTAAAATAAAACTCAAACTCACACCACTAAATTGTCAACGAATGCTACCGAACTCATTTAAAACACACAAAGTTAAATTATAAGGAAATTCTACAAATTAAATTTTGAAAACTCTAATCCACAAAAAGATAAATAACTGATAATGGATTCATAAAAATGTAATTATCAATTAAGAAGGTAACAAGAAGTGTTGAGTTGTTGACCGTCCCACATACTTCGTATATTGGGTGCCTCCCTTATTTCTATTGGGGCACCAATTCATTTGTATAAATAAATATTTAAAATACAATAAAATTTTACTAAAAAGTGGAAAGTCATTGGGGGCATGTGCCCCCATTAAATATAAGATGGATCCGCCCCTGCATACCATACAACACATTAAATCTACTCTTCATCTCACATTTATTTAGAGAATATTATCAGAAGTGTGACTAAAAGTGATGGTAATTCCTAAAATATGACTGAAAAGTTTTTATGCCTAAAGTAATGGTGTTTGCATATACTGTACATGTTTTGATGCCACTTTTTCTCCCTCCAATTTAATTATTACTCATATAAAGACATCTTTAAGTTTGCTAGTCATATACGAAGTGTTAGGAATCTATGAATGTTTTAATCACATATAATAGATTTTCTTTTTATTTACTCTTTATCTTTTGATGGCTCATTCTTGGGTATGTACTATGTATTGATGGAATCTTTATACAATACCGTAGATAGAAGTGGTCCATCGTCAAATGTGTCACCTCTTCGATGGGAGTCAAACAGAAGAGCAGTGACTGAAGAAGAGAAAGACAAGGCTATACAAGCAGCTTCTTCAGCTGCCTCTGATGATAGCCTCACTGTGGTTATGAGAGAATACCATGTACACAAGGGCTTCTATATGGTATGTTTTTTTTTTTTTTTGTAAATTTAGAAAATCCATCCATTTCTTGTCTTTAAAATGTTGAAACCCATTATGTAGGGCTTAAATTGGCTAAAAATATGTTATCAAAACATGTTTGGTATGTCTAAAAGGGCTTATAAGCCTGAAAAGATTCCAAAAAATCATCAAATACCCAACATGCGACAGATTCAGCTGATTCGGTTTTTCGCCGAAAAATCGACTTATTGCCACTTTGTAGGCCAGTTCTTATTTTCATCATGAAATGACAAATGTGTCCCCTTCAAGCAATTACACATCCAATCAATCATTTTAAGGAAATAAATCACCAAACACTTTTTTAATTCAATCCATTCAGTCAATTTAGCTATTTCACCGTTCTCCAACCAGGCACTTTGTAGCTTTTGCCCTGAATACTTCACCAAAGTGAATCTTACCAAAAACTCTCCTCCATCGACAGAATCCATCTGGTGCTTTCATTTCAGCCTAATGGGGCCTAATCTATATTTTCTTGTGAAATGATGTGCAGTCAATCCCGGTTGAGTGGTCAAGGAAGCATCTTCCTCAGAAAAACTTTGACGTGTGCATGCGAATGAAGGAGAAAACGTGGATGGCGAAAGCCTATTTTCGGAAAGCAACTAGTGGTCATGGGGTGTCTGGTGCTGGTTGGAAGTACTTTGTGCTAGAGAACTCACTTGAGATAGATGACGTGTGTCTGTTCAACCTGGTGAGTGAAAGCAGCAGTTTGTGCGTGTTTGACGTCCGCATTTTCCGGGTCATTGATGATGTCTTGCCAAGGAAAGTCATGGGGACATCCTCAAAAGGGAAACCTGGACGGCCATGTAAAAATGATTTCTGGAAAGCAGACTAGAGAAAGCCTCATCAATGTGATCTTTTGTCTAATTTGTTTGAATTAATGTTTTGCACTCTCCCTAACATTGGCTTGTGTTTTGACTGCTATGAATCTATGATCAAAGTAAATGGATCAGACCCCACCCAAAAGCATCCACGTTTTTGAACTTTATACATAAGGGCCAAGGTGATCCCGTTGTGTTCTTGTGTTAGAAAATTGTGTGGGTGGTTTTGGGGTTCGACTAAAAAAATCCCTACCTAGATCAACCAGTTCATGTGTAACCATGTTTAGAACTATAATTAGTATTTGTTTGTACATGCAAATATAATACTCTCCCATAATACTTTGTTAATTTTCTTTATTTCGTCATTACATAAACTTGGTGACTTCCATTGAAAGTAATAAATACGGAGTATGTGCTTGAAAGTTATTTTTTGTCCATTGTGTACGGAGAGGGAGTATGAGGGTATGAAATGGTAAAGAGCTGGACCTTTGGTGTCATTGTAAGTATTTAACTTTCTGAGTTGGAGGGTCTCTAATGCTTAGGTTTTATCTCTGTGTGTCTGTGACTAGATAGATTTGAGGCAGATTAATTTATTATTATGGGCTTTGAGTAGGGGTGAGATGGTCATACCATCATAGGACTGGGATTGCGTGATATTTTATATGAAACACATGATAGTACTTTAATTATTCTAACACCCTGGTTAAACCGTTAAACACTAGTTTCACATAATAAAACCCCATGAAAACAAAACGGAGTACAGGTAATCCATTGATCACTCTGCAAGACTCCGAACAGACTCTAGAAGCCACTCATTAAAGACTTCCTTCAACTTGCTTGCCCACCACTCACCGAAATCAAAGGGGTCTAACTTCCCAGTTTGCACGCCCTCTGCCATCAACAGTCCAGTTCAAATAAAAACTCAGACAACCATTAGGCTTATGTTGAATCCGCGAAGTGGCCGGTAGGGCCTCATAAGCATGTACCTTATTGCACTCCTGAAAATGCACCTCCTCCAATTGAAATAATGCCTCTATAGCAGACGGATACATATTGACACTTTCAAATTCCAGTTTCTTTAGCCTCGGCAAGAGCTTGGAGATCGCAGTCACAATGCCTTTGTCAACTGCTAAATCACGTTCATGTATATGAAGGGATTCAAGTTCTTGGCAACTTCTTCCGATCTTTTCAATGAATTGCTTATAACGACCAGTAGCATTAAACCTTCCAAGATGCATTTCCTTCACAAGATTCCAGTTCCGCATGGCCTTAGCAAAGCCTTTAACAGTTATCCTTGAGGCATCCAAGAGAAATAAATTTTTGAGGCATGGTGTTCTGCACCAAGGAACACGGATGGATTAAAATTTTTCAACCATTTATATCCAGCACATGAAGAAAAGATGGTAAACCTTGAACTGAAGAAGGCCCAGCCCTTTTAAACTTCAATGTTGCTGAAATAAACTACATTTTTTTAGTTTTTTACTAGTACCTCCATCCCAAATTTTTTGGCAAACTTTAAAACATTGACCAACTATACATTTTTATTGAAAGTTATTTATAATATATAAAAAATTATCTGATAATGTTTTGTGTTAAAAGCACTTCCATAAAAGTATGCAATTTATAACTTTTGATAATACTATCCCAATCAAAATCAAAGTTTAAATTTTAAGAAATGGCCAAAAATTTTGGGACGGAGGTAATAATTCTTTTTAAAAAAGACATATCATAACACACTCAAATACTATACAGTACATAATAATCATGGTCACAATTTTTTTTTTTTATTAAACTTGCATGCTCTGAGCTCTCAGCTCAATAGAACTTGAGAGAACTGAAAGTAAGTTTCAGCAAGATGTATCATATATGACCATAAGGCCGGATAAGGGATTGAATTGTAAGGCAGGATAAGGGACACACTAAATGAAAAAGGAAAAGAGATTATTCACCTCTGAGCAATATGCAAAAGATGCTTGTCTGAAATTTCCAGATCATAAGGCAGGATAAGGGTCTGAATTGTAAGTCTCCAACTTTGCAGGGAACATCCATGAATACAATTCTCCTGTTCAAATATCCTCTTTAGCTTTCTCATCAAAGTCGTAGCCATTTGATTATACTTTTCGGGTGACTCTAATCCTCCAAGAAAAGGGCCTGAACTCCCTGAAGAATGCTTCATTGATCTCAATTCCACTAAATTGACAACGCCCCCAAACCCAGCTCCTGTTGCGCTGAGGTCAAGAACATCACGGCTCCAAAACAACAAATCCCAACATGCTGCCTCCCATGATTGACAGACAGCAGACACATTCCAGAACAACTCTTCCGCATCAACTAGAGAAAATATTTTTGTAAGGATATTTGAATCTAAGTCTTCCCAATTCCCCCCCCCCCCCCCCCCCCCAACCAAGCAGCATTCTTCAAGAGCTTTTCTTGCCTCTATTTTCCTCTTCCTACAATAAACTAAGGTGCCCATTCCTCTCCCAAAGCCACATTTCTGTGAAAATGTATCTTTAGGTCAACACTCAACATGCAATTTATTCTGATAAGACATCAGTAAGTCCAATATCTATTCAATAGGAAATCTCCATAAACTCACCCATGCATACTAAAACACATCACCTCACACTATAGAGAACAAAAGAGCCAGAAAACAAGCCGAATTTAAGTTGTCATATTGGTCCAGGCCTCCAGGGTCATTTAAGTTGTGAATCAATTACACGTAAGATCATTAATGACATATACTTATCAAGATTTGGCTATCTATCTTAAGGACGGCCTAAAGTAGGGGATTGCAACCACAATGAAGGGCTCAAAAGTCAGAAGCAATGGCACATACTTCACTTCCCCTACCTTGAAGTTTTAATTTGGTTTGTTCAGACCAGTTTGAGGATATTGAACTGAAAAGCCTTTGGTTAGTGCACCATTTCAGTGAAGCCAGCAACCCCTTCCTAGCACTATTTTCAGCAAAAAAAAAGGCATACATTTATTTTAACATAAAACAACTGCTATGCAGCACCATGAAGGAGAAGCTGGCAAGACCCATAAAAGTAACAAACAGGTATGATTGATAAATAAATATACAACAACAACAACATCCAAGCTTTAGTCCCAAAAAGAGTTTAAGGTCAGCTAACATGACTTAGACATGTGAAATCGGATCTAAAAAGAATACAAAAAGATCAATCTTGCCCACGTATATCCAACATTAGTAGCCCTTAGTTAAGAGTAGCAATTGTTAAGACCGGACCAGCCTGCAATTGCCATTGTTATAAACTTCCTTTATCCAACATTAGTAGCCCTTAGTACATGCCCTAAACTTAAGCCTATTTGGATTGAGTGTTGAGGACTGTTAGTAAAGGAAGTGTTATTAAGTGTTGATACTAACACTTGTTTGGGAGAAAAATTAAGAGATGTTAAGAAGTGTTAGTAAAGGTTAGGAAGTGTTAATAATAACCTTCACAACACCTCAATTGTCCACTTTTTTAACACCCCGATTTGGAGTGTTTTTAGGTGTTGGACAATTGTTACCCTTCTCATTTACCCTAAAAAGTAAAAACATAAAATGCTTCAACATCTCACTTCGAATATCTTTACCGCAAGTCTGATGGTCTGCCTTTTTCATCTTCTCTTCTTACTCGTTTCTTTTGTCTTAAGATAAAATTGCTAACACTTCCATTATTAACACTTCATTCATTTGACTCTCCCAAACAAGGTAAAATTATGTTTAACACTTACACTTCTCTTCCCTTCCGGGCCCTTACTAACACTTACCAATACTTCCATTACTAACACTTCCATTAAGTAAGAATTGTTACTATAATTAGAAGTAGGGCAACTTTTAAAGACATCCATCATTCCAACAATAGAAATATGGAAACTTACTTTCCGGATGTAGTGGTGTATAAGGGTCTGTTTGCAACAGCTTCTGCTTTTAAAAAAGTGCTTTTTTTAATGAAATGGGGAAAAGTGATTAAATAAAAGTTGATAGTGTTTGAGAAAAAAGTGATTTTGAAAAGTAAAAGTGGATAGTGTTTGGTAAAATAAGTGCTTTTTGTTTAATAGAAAAAGTAAAAGCACTTTTGACGCGGAAGCCGAGAAAAATAAAAGTTGTAGTGTTTGGGAAAAAATAAGTGCTTTTTTAAAGCCAAAAGCTGAGAAGTGCTTTTTTAAAAGCAGTTGCAAACCAACCCTAAGTATGACTTGATTTCTAGTAAAGGGCGCAAAAAGAAGATTGATACTCCCATCCCTTGTAAATATGGACATTCAGTTCAACAAGATAGATTATTTGGATTTAAATGCTTTTTCGTTCTCAACTAAGGGGGTGTTTGGAACTGATTCTGCTTGTGCTTCTTTTTTAAAAGCAGAAGCAGAATCAGAATCAGTTTTCAGAAGCTGGTACCCCCTGCTTCTAAAAAAACTGATTCTGAGAGTAAATTAGAGCTCCAGAAGTGCTTCTGGAATTTCACCCAAACACTCCAGCTTCTGCTTCTGCTCCCTGAAGGAGCATAATCAGTTTTGAGAATCAGATCCAAACACCCCCTAAAAGCACAATTGGAAGATAAAAGATCACATTTTACTCCGATTCTGTTTCTCCACCAATTATATGAGAGAAACTCAACTAATTTACCACTACCAAAAAAAACGCGCGTAGTCACGGATGTAGTCACGGACGCCAGTTCAAAAATTCCGTGACTAAATGAGTTAGTCACGGTCTTTGGCCGTGACTAATTCCGTGACTTAATGGGCGTGACTAAATGAAGTCACCGCCACATAACCGTGACTAAATGTAGTCACGGGTTAGTCACGGTCGGCGGCCGTGACTATTATCATGCCGGAAACCCCACTCCGACGTGCTAGTCACGGCTGTTGACTGTGACAATTTTTTTTTTAATAAATATTAGTCACGGCTGTAGACCGTGACTAAAGTTTCAAATTTTCAAATTTTCAAAACACCGCCCGCGGTTGTAATCTAAATTTTGAAATTAGTCACGGTTGTCGACCGTGACTAAGGTTTTTTTTTTTAAAAAATGTTTTTAAATAAAAACAAATAATAATTTCGGATTAACTGTAGTCACGGATAAGGCCGTGACTACTATTTTTGTTTTTTTTTTAAAAAAAATTTCCAGTTTTTTTTTAAAAAAATGTTTTTAAAAATTTACTTTTTTTATACGTATTTTTACAAATTAAATTTAAAAATGTTTTTGAAAATTTTGTTATTGAAAATATTATTCTAATTTTTTAAAGAAAAAATTACATTTTAAAGAGTAAAGACATACAACAAACTTAATAAATATTATGACAAACTTTTAAATGTTATGAAATACAACAAAGTATAAATGTATGATGATTACATGTCCGTTCGTCGGACTCCATTATGAAAAAAATTAGGATTTTCTTCTTCTTCATCATCATCATCAACAAGAAACTCATCTGGGTTCACGGGGGGTCTTCGGGCTGCTGAACGGGGTCATCGGGTCGGGTTCCTCCTCGGGGTGCTCTTCGGGGTCCATGGCTTGGTGTACCACTACCTCCTCCGGATGACCTTGCAAAATCAAAGGACATAGATCCGAAATTCGGGGAGATCATAGGCATGCCACCGTATCCGGAGTTGGGGAAAAAATCCATACCGCCCATGTGCGGAACTTGAGGAGTTTGCTCAGGGTGGAATACGTACGGGGGAGGAAAAGGCTGGTGCGGAGGCTGGAATCCGGCACACATGAACCGTTCCATCTCCTCCAGCCGGGCTTTTGTTTCTTCCTCTCTTTTCCGTTGCTCCTCCCATCGCCGTTCGTGCTCCTCCAGTTCACGCTGCATTTGGGCCATACGAGAGTCTTCTCCCCGCCTTGACCGAGAAGAGGAAGCGCCGGAGCTTCGATCATACAAAATCCGTTGCCCCTCAGCCCCCAAGCACGGAACCCGACCCTTGTAAACCCTTGAGAATGCCGAGATCCTTCATGTGGAAGCAGGTGTGCAAATATTGTTTAAAACGGGATAAGGCTGTAGAATTGTTACCAACAATTATCAAATCATCCACATAAACCAGCACATTTAATTTAATTTCACCACGTCGGAAAGTGAAAAGAGAGTAATCAGAATAGGACTGAAGAAAACCATATGCCTTGAGCTCTGATACCATAATAAGTTTAGGCACAGTAATAGGAACGATTTTCCTCCCTTCTCATTACTCAAGTTACACGTATATATACATGTTTAATATCTACCCTAGGTACACTGCCCAAAATAAGTACACCTAATGGTAATTACATGAACTTAATAAAATAATCTAGACGGGCCCAAATGGGTCCAACAATTATCAAAATATATTTCTACATATTACAACTGTAAACAATATTATTTGAATGTTTACATCAGCATTGCAACTGTGTGAAAATGTGCATACTAATTAAACGTGGAAACAAAGCTTTTACGGATGATGACATCGTCATTACATAACTATGAGGTCATACAGGAGCGTAGACAGGGGTGGCCATTCCTGGCCATGGCCCAGCCCAAATTTTAAAAATGTCTAAATTTTTAGGGTAAAAAAATCCGAGTAATTTTTTTTTCAAAAATATTCTTTGTACCGGCCCAGTGTCCTGGCTCCGCCCCTGAGGTCATATGCTTGAGCGGGAACAGTTATGCCTCAGACGATCTAGCTTATATATATATAAAGATAATTGGCCGCCTTCGTTCACACATGGAAGGTATGCGGGACTTCTTAGTTGCGCCTTGGGCCTAGGCTCGCTTAGGCGGCTCCTTTCTAGGCCTTTTAAAACACTGACCGTACCCTATTTTACATTTATGAACTCCTTTTAAATCTGTTCATTTTTTTTCTTATTCATCCAGAGCTATGGAACCATTGTCTCAAGTTATAGAGATATCTCCGGATTCCGGAGATTCATCCAAATCAGTGGATGAAGCAGCTAATATAGAAAGCGTGGATGATAATTTGAAGTAAGCTTCTGTTGTTTATG